CATTTTCCTTATAATTTGGCAGCTTCCCTCTTGTAACTGTATTCAAGCATACAGCACAAGTCATCGCATCCCGTCACAGAAATGCGCCCACTTGTGGAATGAAACATAGCAGCCACATCCCAGAACACACACACACACTACGGGGTTTGGGACGTGACGTAGACACCACAACCAAGTGAAACTCCTGCTGAACCAAGTGAACCTCCAGCTGAAAGGGGTGCTCGGGGCAGACGGAGGGCATGCCTATGCATTCATTAACACGCTGTGAGTGGCGGGGCTGCACATTAACGCAGATGAACACTTTTTGTACGATGTTTAAACGTGCGTCGGACTACACCTACTGCGCATATCACCGCGCTGATGTGCATTGAATTAGTCCAGCGTGCATTAAGCACCTCGTGTAGACGCACCCAGAAGGTAGTCAGCCCCCCCAATATAAATTAGGCAAGTAGAAGAGAACTTGCAAATCTCTTCCTCCCCTCTTCAATTATTGCTTTAACAACCAAACATACTCTTCGTTGCCTTGAGCGGCCAAGCAACTAATGAAACGCAACTACTTACTTACCCTTATTAAACATACAATACCTGGCCTATACAATCCAAACAACACAGAACCATCATGATTATCTACTTAAAAACTAACTGACAATTAAAATTTAGGGGCACACCAAAGCAACAGCCTCTTATCTGACCGAGCAGAGCAGACTACAGCGACCGAGACGGCTGCGGCGACTACGAATTTGAATGAATATCGAAACAAAACACGCACAGCTCGCATTGGCGATTGGCAAAGTAGGGATATCCGCCAAGAAACGCGCGCTTAAATTCCCGAGCAAATATAACGAGACGCCGACCCGCGTGGCACGTCCCGAGCGCAAAGTGCTGTTTAGGAGAATAAAGCGCTAGATGGCAGCATAATCCCAAGTTTCAAAAGCAAACTGACTCCAGTTGACAAGGCTCGCTCGCTCGCATCACCGTACTGCACTCAGTTAAAAACCCTGGAAAAAGGCCGGGAACTTTACATTCAGCCCGTCCCGTCGTCTTCTTTATCAAGGGGGTGAGAAAGGCTTCGCTGTCGGCGCCGCGTGCTTCGGTTCCCAAAAACCGGAGGGCAAGAAACAAGAAGTCTGCCCCCCGCGCCAGGCCGTCGCCAGCTCAAGCCACGCAGAAGAAAGAAAACAGAGCGCCGGGTGTGGGGGGTTGGGGGAAGGCATGGTTGCAGGACAAGGCCCTGCCCCTGTCCAGGCGCCGCGACGCGGGTCGAGCGGCCCCACGACCAGCCCCAGTTGGGGGCAGAGCACCCCCCGCTCGCCCCCCAGGGAAGGCCGGTACCTGCTTGCCGCGGTAGAAGAGCCGCTGGCGGTCGGTCTCCACGCCGAACACCTCGTGTATCCGCAGCCGCAGCTCCTCCACCTTGGTGAGCTTGGAGAGCGAGTCCACGCGGCGGGTCTCCTTCCCGTCCATGGTGCGCACCTGGATCCACAT